ATAACAATGATTATAAACTTATTTTCCTCTTGGTTGAAAGGGAGAGCGCAGTATATAGGCCTATAATAGTCCGCGAAAAAATGCGATATTGTTGTGAACGTTGTATTGTATATAAATGGCACACTGATTAATACTCTCAGCCAGATATATAAACAGTTGGTAATGTCAAGGCATCAAGCAAACTTAATACCAACAATTTATACCTCTCCCTTGTATGGGCGGAAGTGTGCATCGTAATATTAAACTTAGAAAGGAAATACATGTATACTGTTTACTTAAGATAATAATTTTTTTTTAAACAGATATTTTCGGGGTCAAACTTCGCTTGAATTGTTTTACAAACTTAAAAGTATATGCTAAAATTCACTGTTAAAATTTTCTCACAGGTATTTAATTTCAATGTTGTGAAATAGATAAAGAGCAATAGATAAAGAACAAAAATATAGATATCAGATTCAGAAGATTGCATTTGTCATCGAAATTGTTATTGGGTAATGTTATCCCAGATTGCATTGTCAGTGAAGGAAAACTTGTGTTTTTGATACACTATGTAAATCATTTGAGATTTTAGTTGAATTTACATGTACATGTACATTCAATGACTTTCATCAATTATCAAATAAATTCCTCACAACATGTGGCTTGTCGGTAGCCTAGCGACCTACATGTACCACTTGTTAAAGATTTATACATTCAATGATGTTACATTTCATGTAACATTTTTGGCATTTGACTTTTTAAGCATATGAACTATGGAGCAAATGTTTATTTTCGTATACAGTTTAGTGATTTTTCTTTTTGATATCGGATTCTGAAGTTACTGTTTATAAAATGTAAACACTTGGTTTTGTTTTGGTTATTTTGTGTTACCATTAGATTTGGAAAGGGGGGGGGGGGGTCTTGCCCTGAAAGAAAGTACGGCTAAACAACTACGTTGTGTATCAGCTTTATTTCAAACTAGCACCTGATAGAACCATCATGTATTAATGTATAACGTATCAATATAACTAGATGCTGTGTCGTCTGTATATCATTATACCTGGCGTCTGTCTGTCTGTCCATCCGCAAAATTCATTGAATTAATACCGTAGTTTCTTTGAAATTTAGTTAAACACAAATTTTATGTTAAGGTGAAGGAAAGGTCAAGGTCAAAAATGTTGATACAGTTGAATAGCTCTCACCAATATGTATCAGCATATTAGGTTTGATTAAAATATTTGAAACTGAACTTAATACTGTTTTAAGAAAAGTGAGGTCAAGGTCAAAGATGCTAAATGCAGTTGAAGAGCTCTGATCAAAACGATTAAGCGTTAAGGTTTTATAAAAATATCCAAGTTTCTTTAAAATTGAGATAATCACTAATTAAAGAAAGTGAGGTCAAGGGAAATGTCAAGGTCAAAAAACATTGATGCAGTTGAATAGCTCTCAACAGCATCTATGTGCATACATGTATGAAGTTTGATAAAAATATCTTGATTAGTTTCTTTCAAAATTTATCTGAACACAAAATTAAGAAAAGTGAAGGTAAAAAAAAATTGATGAAGTGGAATAGTTCTCATCAGTATGTATCAGCATATAAGGTTTGATAAAAATTTTTCGAATAGTTTATTTGAAACTGGGCTTAATACTATTTTTTAAAAAGTAGGATCACGATAAAAGGAAAGGCCAAGGTCAAAAACGCTGATGCAGTTGAAGATCCCTGATCAATATGTACCAGCATATGAAGTTTGATAAAAATATCTTGAATTAGTTTCTTTGAAACTGGGCTAAACGCAAAGTTAGTTTAAGTTTAAGAAGTATTTTATTCACGATATACAAAGAAGTACACAATGAACATGGATTGAACAGCAGGCAAAAGTGGCCTATAATTAGTTCTCTCCGTCGCAAAGTGTGACGGAAGGACGGAAGGAAGGAAGACGGACATGACAAACACTATATGTCCCGGCTATATTCAGGGCGGGGCATAAAAATACCTAATTAATGTATAATTACATCATAGCGTTTCGGTCTGAAGGGGGCGAGACCTGGAAGAAGTATTCTTAATAACAGATAATGAACAATGAAAAATCGAGTTATATATTCCTGAAGTAAAAACATACTGTGGAAAAAGTCTTATGGATAAAATCACTTATTTAAGGGAGCCGACTGGGGTTTTATTGTGTGAAAAATACTACAGAGAAACTCTTTAATTTTATACCATATATACCTTACATTGACTTCAGTATACATGCCAAGTTTAGTGAAAATCTACCGTCTGGTTATTTTTTGAGGGACCGTCTCAAAATACAGGTACATTTACTATGGGATTATATAGGAAAATACCATTTTTTCGCACTTCGGAGCAAATTATACAAATACTATTATAGACTTTTTGCTCAAATTTTATTATTTGATGAGTAATACTATATTGTACATTTTGTGCAAGAAACACAAAATTCTACCGTCTGGTTTCCAGAGGGGGCATCTCAAAATTTCAAAATCTATGATATTTTCTGGTTTTTATTGAGTACAACAAAACATAACAGATACCATGGATTTACTTAAAAATAATAACAATGATTGCTAGATTCTCAATTTCCTATGTTTAAAATTTCAAGAGCATATATTTTATACTTTTTATTCTATGGCATAATTAATGACCCCGCTTAAAGAACTTCGGTTATTCATAACGTCAAAAACACACTACTACGACGTCTTTCTACCCATCATTTGAAAAATCGTTAAATAAATCAGTTATTTAAAAACGTAATTAGATTTTTTAACCTCATATTTCCTAAATTTGTTATTTTTTTTATAAATTATGTAAAAATAGTTGCTTTAAAAGAGTAAATACGCTTTGTTTCACTATGCTGCGTGAAGTATTGCGCAATGAAAACCCCAGTCGGCCCCCTTAAGTAAAATCCCATATGACATTTATACATGTTGAACCATATATTAATATATTTAATTAAATAAAATAGAAGAGTGATTAGCATTCCTTCCCTTCTTTAACTGATCATAGAAATTTAAGATTCAGTTTCAAATGCTAGATATAAATTCAAATATGCTGTTCATGCAGTTAGCGAGTTATTACCTGCATTTAGTGTATATGTCTCCCATATGGTTCGGTACGCAAGAGCATGTTCTGAGTAAGATCGATGTTTTAAACCAAAACAGGCTACTGTCAAATAATTTGGGGTAACAGTGCATTGTAAAATCTCGTTCAAAGTCAGCACTTCGCAAATCATTGGTGGCAAATACAACCTTTCGTTGGGTTGTATTTTGACAGACATGTTTCGTGCCAATTGTCAGTCCATTGTTTTCAAATTAATTTTGACTATACGTTAAAATCCCTGTACCTGATCGATACAGAGGGCTCACGGCGGTTATGACCGGGCGACAGGGAATGCTCACTCCTCCCAAGCACCTGACTCCACCTCTGAGACAGTGTATTTCCATGGATCCATTTTTTTCGCAGTAATTAAACAGTATTTTTGAGCATGTATGAGATTGATCACAGTTCGTCACCCTCATCCTTTTAATTATTCCACTCCGGAATTATGGGATTTTTTTTTATTTATGACAAGCTCTGTAAAATTCGTTGGAAAGATACAAGGCGTTTCGAGCGACAAAACTTTATTTCATTTGCAGAAAACTGACATACATTGACCGATTTTTATATCGAGTCTACCCCCCCCCCCCCCATAATATATACTTATACATGTAATAACGTACATTCTAGCATCCAATGATGCTAGGAAATTTAAAATACTAGTAATCAATTTCACCTCACTTCGGATAAACATTTTAACAAATACAAAAACATGTAATTACATAAAATAAGGATGTATCGCAATTCGCTGAAAGCAGTTGTTTTTAGAATATGTCCACATACACGTTCGATAACAAATTCAAAATGCAAGAATTTGATGGCGGTAACAAATTAATGCTTGTGACACATGTACATTAAGTCGTGTTCAGAATACACCTGTAACATATTTTTGGTGGAAAACTTGGATTCAATTGTTCTTGGTATATAATTAAGTTCACATAAAAACCATCGGTATGGCCTTTCCCCAAGTGAATTTGTTATTATAGCGATCTATGATAATTTGTTCAGATGGTCAATGAGAAAACCCCCCTCCGTGTTGCAGATGTATGTTGTTATATGGGGACTTGCATCTATGCCAAGGTAAATTCTGCTTGTATATGCTGTACACAATTTTTCCACATTATCACGCTGGACAACTGTCGGAAATTTGGCAAAATTCTTTGTGTTCATGTAATAATTTATATAAAGAATACAAGAGAAGCAGTATGCAAAAGCATTAGCAATGAAGTCATCTGAAAATAGAATTAGCAGACGCCTTGCCAAAGGGAATTCTTAGAGATGCGAAAAAATTCGTGGTCTCCCTCATAATTATTAATGAAACAATTTTAAGGCAACACAAACCTCATCTAATCGAATTTTAAATTCAAAGTTTGGAAATTTTAAAGTACATGTAGCTTGGTTTATTTGTAGAATGATACAAAAAGATTTACATATACGAATTCTAAATACTAGTACATTGTACCGTCATTTAATTTCAATGACAGCTTCTCCTATATGCAAACATCTTTTTTGTTAAACTATTAAGGATATAGGATGCTCAAAAAAATGATGTCATTATGTTATAAAATATAAAACAGTTTGAGCTCCTAATTATTGTTAAAACACATATTCAAGGAAAGTTAGGGAAATTTCCCTATAAAGCCAGCCTTTTTTATTCTCATCAAATCTGTGCTTTACATCTATATATGGAAATTCAATGCAAAAACATGGAAAAAATTAAATCCCCAAAATATATATACAACTTTACTCTAATATTATCTTGTAATGAATCAATTTGAAACTTAAAACAGCAAAAAAAAAAAAAAAAAAAAAAAAACAAGAAGGTAAGTTCAAGTTCATACTTTCCCCAGATTTTGGATATCATGTGACCTTAAGACGAAAAAAAAAATGAAATGATGCATAAACTTACATATCGGGAGTTTTGATGGAAATTATCCTATTTGAAGCGAAAATTTTACAGCACCCTGTGGTATCACTTGGGAATTCTAGGACCGGTCTCGTTTTCAATTTAATTTAGGGTATAGGACAATTATCACTTTTCTTGATACACAAAATCTGTAGTTGATTAATTCCCACCAATCAAAGAGACCATAATTAACTTCAAGTCGTGGAACATTTCAGGCGAATTGGCGGAAATTCCAAAAATCAATTTCTTGTGGCCGCTTCAGAAACGTTACTTCTGCTTATACCTATCTAGTGAAATCCGCGCAGAAATGCACTTCCTGTTCCAATCGTTGGTAACATGTAACAAAACAAAATGGTTTGTACAAAATTCTACTTTTCTGAATTTCTCTAGTTATATGCACGCATGTTTATAGCAGAGATTCATTTGAAGCTGTCGCTAGGAATATAATAACCCACAGAACGCCACCAGGTCCGTTATATTCGAAAGACACGTTCTGAGCAATTATTGTAGGGAGTACTGATTAGAACTATATAGATACTGATGATACAGGGAGTTTGCCGACAAAGATAATGGTATGTTGGTGCACATTGTGTCAATAACAATCCAACACCTGCGAATTGCGCCTCTTTTTAGTTGAGCAATACAATACATATCATCGGCGCCCAACAAAGCAAGCTTGAAACTTTCTGCCAAGTCATATCTATTGAGAAGTGACGTTTATCTTGGTAGAACAGGTTCGTCATTATTGTCGCTTTTCTATCAAGTCATACACAAGGAATGAAAGCTATGAGGAAAAGTTGTATATGTTACGCGAAAAATCTCTGCATATTAATATTTATAGTGTTTTAAGAAGAGATTCCTCAAAGCGCTATTCGTTTATCTTACATTACAATCGACTTGCGCTTTGTCTTTGCTTTGCAAAGCTTTTGTTTACTATTCAATATCAAAGAAATTACATGAACGTTTCTTTCACTGACTCTATAGTAGATTCTTAATTACATGAACTAAGAAAACCTAAAAGTATTACATACATGTATGGTTTTCCGTGGCAACTCTCTTTCTTTTGTGTGCAACAATTATTAACAATCTCCGCCTTAAAATATACTGAATGTCACAAGTTACTGAATGAGAAATTGAAATTTATGACCCATGATGATACACCTTTTAGGGTGTATCATCATGTAATTATTATAGAACTTGGGTCTAAGTTTTTGAAAAGTTTATCCCTGTAAAGTTAAATATCAACGACAAAAAATTTGGCTATAAGATCGAAGGTCAAATATGGGTCCTGATTAAGAGGTCCATAGACCTTGACGGGCACCTGAAGAGTACGACTTTCCCAAGTTACGACCAAAGAAAATTTGCAAAGATGTAATGTTAATCTACATATATATTAAATTTGCAAAGATGTAATGTTAATATACATGTAGTCATGTACACTGTATATTAACTTAATCCCAACGTTTGGCCTGAACCCTGGAGTTATGAATTTAGAAATTTTTGTCAGGGGCTTACAGCTCAATACAACCATGCGAAAAAAAACTTGCCCATAGATGTCAGAGTAAAGAATATATTTTTGTAAAATTAATGTTTAATGTATTTATTATAATGACCTATTAAGCTCAACCGAAAGCTCTGACCAAATAGTCATGAAACTCACAATTAAGTACATTATAATGATACGAACAGTTTGCTTGGTAGATGTCCAGTTCTAGAGAAAAGAATTGCATGAGATTCTGTTTTTCCCTCATTTCCCGTGCAGATCCCGGGAATGCAGGAACTGTAAAATTCGCATATTCGTTTTCCTTTATCCACACACACACACATATATATATATATATATATATATATATATATATATATATATATATATATATATATATATATATATATATGATATACACCATACTTTAAATCGGTTAAAATCGATTTTAAATTAGCTATTTATGGAATAAACGGAAATGCTCAAAGGTTTAGAAACTACTGCTACGGACGAAGCAAGACCAGGCCCCTTGAATGACTAAGGTGACCTCTGAAAAAAAGTCTGGACTGGATTTGTTGACAAGGAAACTATTTAATACATGTGTATGTGATTCTGAGGTCAAATTAAGGCATCAGTTATGGCAATATTTTGGTCAAAATGGTTAATGACACGCTGTCCTCGGATCCTACATAATAAACCTACAAGCTATAAAGATATCCCAGTATTAAAAGATTGAAAAAAATCTGGTCCTGAAACATTAATCGCGTTAAAACAATGTCTTCCATCATCGAAAGCGAGATACAGTGTATAAAGACAACATGCATTCTATTTCTTTTGTGAATAGCAATCACAAAAGTACAAGTTTTACACACGGTGCAATCAAAGCATTATGTATAAAATAATGTATTGCTAGTTTACAGAGTTTGGATAGATGTACGTCTTGGGATGCAAACCAAACAAAGCAGAGTAGGGGTATGATTTTAGATGGTAATGTCTATTATGGGTAATGTCTATTATGGGTAATGTCTATTATGATACTAAGTGAACCATGCTATTCCTGATAGGAGGCAGACTGATTGCATGCATTCCTTCCAACACCTCCCTAATGCATTCTTGGTCAAAATAGGGTCCATGGTTTCTTTGGAAAGGAATTATTCTTAAAAGGATTAACCTTATCAAGCATACGGAAAATATAAGCCAAATGCAGCATTGAAATAAGATCGTAACTATCCATTATCCTATACAACTGTCCTCATGGAGTTTAAATCTGTATTAACAATTGTCATATACAATACACAAATTTAAATGCATTAAATTCTAAATTTGTTAGAAGACCACCTGCTCGCAGACCTAACCCCCAACCCCCACCCCCGGGCAATAAAACAGAAATATATCTTTTTCACTTGAAACAATTAGACGACTTTAAAAGACTGCTATGAAATAAATATTTTATCTGATTATTGATAATCCAAAAATAGTGGACAATGAAACATAATCATGACTGAGACATGTAAAGCATAATTTATCCACAAGGAGAATCAAAGTCAGGTTTCCAAAAATCTGGAAGTGTGGCAATTTTAGAAAAACTTTTGAATGGATCTAAGTTAGGGAAGGTTCAAGCTATGTTCGGAATTGAAATAATAATAGGTTCTTTCTTAAAAATATATTTAATACAAAAAGAATATTATACAAATATTTTACTTCATTCAAGTATGCATGAAATATGGAATATGTTTTATTTTAAAGCATAGCTGGTAATAATTAGCTTAAGTGTCTTAAGAATCTAAATTAGTTTTCAAAAATTTTAACCACAGATGTTGCAGTTTGCAGTAACCCCCCCCCCCCTCCCTTTCCAAAAAAAAGAGCAAGATTCTATAGAATGCCCATCTTCATTCAAAGTTAGAAACAAAGGTCATTTTAGATTATGCAGTTCATTGTCAAGAATGATATGAGTAATGTAATTAATGCAGTTCTCATCAAATGAATATTTTGGTAATGTACATCCCTAGAAGCGACATCCATGCAAATTTGGTCTGGATAGGACTAATAGTTTCTCGCGAGTTTAACTTGCTCCAGTAACTCTTGACAATTGATCAATCACGTTGAAAATGTTAGTTAGATGCAGGACCCGAAACATTCTTGTAGTGTGCCCCCCCCCCCCCCCCCCCCCTGCAAAATCCATGCAACTTTAGATCATTTCAAAATCGTTGACCCTCAGGTAAGGGAAATAACTCTCACTGGGATAAATGACTTTTTCCTTTGTAAGATGGTCAAAATTAAAGCCCATTTCTGTCAAATCTTTCCCGGCAAGGTATGTTGAAACTGTATGAATTTTGATTAAAATTAGATTTTTTTTATGGAGAATCAAAATAATTAAAACAATTTTATAAATATGAGTGAACAGCGGGTTGATTAACCTCAAGGCTTCAAAATAAACATGACTGTTCAATCTTAGGAAAATGAAGGTCAAATGCAGCATCCGAAGCACGTCTGATTGTGTGCATTCCTAGATGTAACAAACATCCATGCAAGTTTGGTCAATATAAATCTTATAAATGGACCTGCTTTAAAAAAATTTAACCTGTTCAATCATCCAGAAAATGAAGGACAGATGCAGCATTCAAATCATATCTGGCATTGGTCAGCCCTAGATGCTTCATCAATACCAGTTTAGTCAAGGTAAGGGACTGCTCACGCCGACGACGGGGCTATAGTATAAGCTCATCATTACTTCTTCGAGGCCAAGCTGGATGACGTTTGAACATCATGTTTAGTTTCTGAATAGTTTATATATTAATATCCTGAATAAAAAACGTACAATTACAATTGAATTGTTACATGTTTATATGTGTGGCGTTGTTGCACTAAACTGCAACTGAATATGTTTAAGAATATGTGCCTAAGAATATGTGCTCTTATATCCTTTTTCCGTTTTTGTCGAGTTTTACACAAACTGCGGTCAAATCCAGCTAAGATCCTTGTGCTTTTCGCCAATAACTTCAATGTCTGATTTTGATTAAAAGAATTCTCTCAGTTGAAATGACTTAATGTATATCAATAATTCACTGCATATTATTTTTAACTTTCTTATGAAGAACTAGCTACAATGTATTACGCTCTCCTTAGCTTGGTATTATACTTTTAGTATGTATTTTATTGTTTTTTTCTCCTCTGCGTTGATAAACAGTTTGCACTCAAACAATATATATTCTTCAGAGAAGAATTTTAATAAGGAGTATGACCCAGTTTTATCTTCTACAGAAAGAATGGGAATTGATCATTGCATTTGGATAAGAAAGTCAATTTCTCAAGTGGCCAAAATTCTGGCGTAGGAGTCTATTTTGCACTTAAGACATCAGTGATCTATTTAAGAGACCGCAAATGATAGGGGTCACTATGTAATTAGGTATAGGTTCCATTCTGATTCCCATGCGAATATTTGCAGTGGAAATTTGGGCTGAATGTAAGCCAAATACCTATTATTCATATTCACATACACTTTGAAAACCGCTTTGTAACTTGACAGACTGAACATTTTGCATAGGTGCTACTTATGAACAAAATTATGCAAAAATATGGATTGACAGCTTTCTAACTGCCTGGCTTATAAAATAATTTATGATCCTCTGTTCAATTTTTTTTCCGTTTTGAATTCAGTAATTAAAATGATACCTTTCAATTGCAAATTTCTATATTTAAAAAAAATGGTAAATTTCCAGCAGTTCACCGTGTATTTATTTTAGCTTACATGTACATGTATTTGCATGTAATATCATCGCTTTGAAATGAAATTAACAATTGCTTACAAAACTAACTGATCTTGAAAAAATACTGATGGAGAGAGTGGGATAGTGGGTTATAAAAAAAAGTCAAGATTTATGACACATTCT